GCTATGATGTTTGTATGAAATGTGCCTCCAAACTGCGTGCAGGAGTGGATCATTTCTACTGTGAGAAGTGTAACGTACAGTCTGCTCAAGGAGTTAAAAGGTTTGGGAATTCTATATGCTTTACCATTTCTTTATTACTTCGTGTTTTGGTCATATTACAAAAATTTTATTGAGTAAAATGTATAACGTAGTTTACATTTACCATATCAACTACTTATCCATTGCAGGTTTCGACTTGAGCTCTCTGTGATAGACTCCTCAAGTGAAGCACTTTTTGTTGTTCTGGATCACTCAGGTGAGATATTTTTTATAAGTCGGCTCAAGAACTTTACCTTTCAAGTGATCAACACCATAATGGGGTACCTTCTGTTATCCAGAACTTTGAAAGGTTAGATGTGACATTTCACGTCAAACTGAACTCATACACTTTCAAAAATCCATCACATGGATTTAGTATTGTGAAAATCGTTGAACCCGAAGGAGTACATCAGCTACGTAGTAAACTTCTGAATCTGGCCAGGTATGTGCTTACAATTATAATTTTCTTGCATTAGTACAAGATGATTAGCTATGAATGGACGAATCTCTAATGTGCTTGCTATGCATAGTCATGGTTTTTTCGTCTTGGTGTTAAACAAAATACCAAATCAACCTTAAACCCAAAATGTGCCTTCACTCTTTGTGATGAATTTAATTGGTTTTATTTTGTCTCAGCACTCTAATGAAGGAAATAACAATTCAACTTTATCCAACGATGTTATGGGAGATCAATCGACTGAAGAGTCCATTATCGATACCCCAATTGTGATTGGCCATGTAGAAGCACAAGATGGAAGCCTTGATGTGGTGTTCGTACTCCGCTCAAGAGGAAGTTAAGTGACGAGGAGTAGGTTGCAATAGTTATTTGAATTCAGTAGTTTATAGGAATATTGGGTTTCTTTATTTTAAGTTGTACGTTGGAGATGACCAGTGTATGGGACAAGAATATTTGAACGCAATTTTTTCAAACTTTGTGGAACCTCTATTGGGTGCTTTCTTTATGGGTTGTATATATTTGTGATGTCATTACTGTCCATTCTACTGTGACTTCGCAAATGAATTGGGCTTCCTTAAATCTAAGTCTTTGATATGAATTTCTTATAAGATTAGTATGCTTTATTTTTTCATCAAGTTGTAGACCAAGCAATCGGGTCGGGTTGGGTAATTTCAGGTTGGGAACTTCGGTTACGGGTCAGTTCATATTTGGTTGGCTTATTTCGGGTCAAATATTGACCCAACCCATTCGGTTTCGGGTCGGGTTACATGTCATTTTGGGTTATGAGCGTTCTCAGAAACAATATCAAACATGCTTCATATTTTCTTAAAGAACACAAATTTTCACATATGCATGACAATAGTTTACCTAACACATATCAATTAACATATTCTGAAATGAATTGTGCAAATCGTCAAAAAACAATCACAAGAGTAATACTACTACAAGAAACACATGATATTTGATTATCCTTAAACTCCAAACATGTCATTCAAATCCTTGTGAATTTTTTTAAACATCTCACCAATTTATGAGTGATTTTATCATATTCTGGGAGTAATATATTAAATGAAACGAGTATAATGGGTCGACCCGCTAACCACCCAACCCGACCAAAAAAATCACGGGTTATCGGGTTCAGGTCATTCAAATTTCGGGTTACAAAAATTTCTAGATTTCGGGCCAGGTCAACGGGTCGGGTTGTAATTTGCCATGTATATCAAGTTGGCATAACGCTATTGAGAATGAATTTTCACACTATCTTTAAATTAGAGTTGTGAATAGAATACTCATATTCATTCATTACATCACATTCTATACGAAAATAAGGATCACATTTTTATTTTCTCCGGCCAACGGGCCGGGTATCAACCTAGTTTGATTAAAAATTGAAAATGATAATAAAAATAGCAAATATGGGAACCAATTGTCCCGTTCCTTATTTAACTACTGAGAATTTCACGGGATATCTTTTGCATGGCAAAATTATATCAAGCTCGTAAGGACAACAAAATGGGCTATGAAAAAGAGAGTAGGTTTTTTATGTGATTTTTTTAGCCGGTGAGAATATAATGTATATATTGCAGTTTAAATTATACACTGTAAAAAAATTTATTATTTTTTCCATTCAAACCAAAGAACATAAATATTTCTCAAACAAGTTGAAAGTGTCGGTAGAACCTTCATATTGAAAATAATTACCAAATTTTTTTTATAAATAAAGTCAATTTATTTAGACCAATCTCTCGAGAAGCATCGTCTCACCCAAGACCCCATCACAGATGCATTGCCATCAAGTATGACGACCCCGAGTAAAGTATGCTAAGCAAAGTATCGAGATTAGCCCTCACGCAAGACACCTCTATTGCATGAGAAGCTACCCATCAAGCTCATGGAAGGAAGGAGTATCGAGGGCTCAAGCAAGCCGCCTCAAGCATTATAATAGTTGGAGGAGTGGTTACCGTGACAGTTACACATGATGGCAAATAAATAGCAGAAACATGCAGTAAGGGTTAGTAATGTTGGGATTTTAAATGGTGTGTATGAAAATTAAAGGGGAAAGATCTAAAAGAATATGTTAAAGTATCATGTTGGTAAGATGTGGGAAGGCGCGACCTCGAATTTGATGATTTGATATAATATGTGGGTAATCGGTTAAATTGATTTATGTAGCCAATCGAACCAAACCGATATGGCGGTTAGAATAACCAAACCAATGCAAATTTTGCCTCCCTTCTTACGCACTTATTCGTTTTATAAATAGCACCCAACCCCTCTGGTTTTGATAAGAATTTCCCTATACCAAAACTCTACCAAAATCCAAACTGAATTTTCTGCATTCTTTTCAAAAGAAAAATTGAGTCAACTGTGGTTCTCGCTGATTCGCTGCGTTCATTGGTTTCTGTGGTTTGAGGTACTGCTACGTTGGAAAGGTACGTCATTTCTATCCTGGGAGGAATCATTCCATAACCTTGGGTACTAAACGGGAATAAGATTCCTCATCACTTAAATTGTTATGGATATGTTCACGTACCAAGATTCTTGCAACACAAGTCACATGAAGAAATCAAGACTTGTCAAAATATGCATAAACACCGCCCGAGCCTATATAATTTGCCACTTCTCCTTAAAGAATTTAGTTCCCCTGTATTGTACTCAAGGTTATGGAACTATTCCTCCCAGGATAAAGCGGACGTACCTTTTTTGGCATACCGGTACTTGAAACCCCAGAAATCAGCAAACGCAACGAACAACGAGAAGTCACACGACTCTATTTTATGCATTTGTAGAGAGGAAAATTAATGAAGAAAAAAAATCATTTTTTCTTTCGGCCAAAAATCCTTTTAGGAAAACTTGTCTGTGAAAGTAGAGGGGGTTGGTGCTATTTATAGAAAATGAAGGAGTGTGTGTGAAGGGATGTGACCCTTCGGGTGGATGGTTACACCCCAACCAACACCTTGGTTCATTTTAAAATAACGAACCATTGCATCAGTTCGGCCAATGGTAGTTGGACTAGTTGGTTCACTCCAACTGCCACATCGCTCCAGTTAAAATTGGTTGGTCCGGTTGGTTACACAAACCAATTTGACCAATTACTAAAATTTTTAATCAAATCAATTGACCAAATCCAAGGCCTACTTCCCATATATAACCAATATGGTATTTCAAGAGCTTCTCTTGGCTCCTTCCACTTTCATTCCGATTCACACCATTCAAAATCCCAACAATCCCCCCACATGAATGGATAATGCAAGCTTTGAAAACTATGCAAAATTGTGTGACTCTCAACTAAGAATTAGTTTCATAGGGATATGTGAAGTTTACTTTAAACCTTCCGTAGTGAACATACATCGAGTACCAATTGGTAGATATAATATCTTTTAACCGTCGATTTTTCTTGTATACAAAGACAACATATGTCACACAACTAACTCTTCTCTGTTCATTGGTTCTCATTGTTGTGTTAAATTTAGCCATGAACACCCCCTGAATTCATGTGTGCTTGGAGAACTGGTCTTCTTTTATTCTCCTGGAAGCGGCTCTACTTCACACTCACATAGGTGATTTCTAAACGTATATTTCTTAAATACACACTACAACAATTTTCGTCTATTATGACATCACTATTTTGTCATAATAGGCCTATATTTTGTCACAATATATTTATTATGACAAACTAATTTGTCACTACATTCGTCAAAACTACCTCGTCGAACCAACTCTATTATGACGAAATTTTACAATCTTGTCACAATATGTTTCAATGGCAAGATGGCCGACTTTTGTCAATATAGAACACCTATTTTGACAAATATGTTTGTCGTAATAAAGAGAAATTTTGTCATAATACATCCAAATTTTGTCACGATAAATGCAACTTGTGATACGATGTTGTGACAAATAGTACAGCTGTGACGAATGACTTTGTAATAACAGTTTGTCATAATAACTAATAAGGGGTTATTGTGACGACAATGTTTTTGTCGAAACATCTTATATGGGTTGTTGTGACAAAAATTCGTTAGTCACAATACTTTTATCATGATAGACCATGTTGTCATAGTTACGAGATAGACTACTTTGTATAATTTGTGACGAAACCATTTTTGTCATGACATTATTTAATACGACAAATTCCTTTTGTCAGCAGCCTGTTTTTTCTTCAATATTATGTGATTTTGTCATTATATATGGATATTATGACGAATCAAAATCAGTCAATATCTGGATAATCTGATATCCTGATTTTGCAAACATATCTGAAAGTTCACGAATATTGCAGCCAACACAAAATGTTCAACAACCTTATTCATAATCCTTAATTAAATAACAATGGTGCAATCTAACATAACATTCTGCCTCCATCAGTTCTACTATCACAAACAACCCTACAGCAAGTCCATCTGAAGATGAAAGTTCTATCAAGAACTTCTCACTTCATGAAAACTACCTGTACCGATGAGAGAAACAATGTTAATTCTTATTCCACCACACTTAATGAAAACTAATGATGTTTATATATACCACCACACTTAACGAAGATGGGGCACTAACTATGTAGTGCATGCCTCCACTGTCCATGCCCATCCAAAATAAGGTGATGACAGTTCAATCAAGAACTTCTCACTTCATGAAAACTACCTGTACCGATGAGATAAACAACGTTAATTCTTATTCCACCACACTTAATGAAAAATAATGATGTTTATATATACCACCACACTTAACGAAGATGGGGCACTAACTATGTAGTGGAGTAAAATAAAACATTCTTCACATTATCTATAAAGGTTCGTAAAAGCATGACAAGAACAAATGTGTTTCTTCAGAAGTTATTGCCTTCAAACTATGTTATCTTTCATTAAACTTTTGAGCTAGGGACTCCACATAGTCCTTTAGACTGTCCTGTGACTCTTGTAGCTTGTGGATAATCTCCTTCTGAGTTTGAATCTCTTGTTGCTGCTCATCTATTTGCTGCTGTTGGGATTGTATCCGTTCCTCAAACTCTTGCCTCTGCCTCTCCCCTTCAGCCAATGAGTTCTCCAAACGAGTTTCTAGGTCTTTCTCTCTTTGGGAACTCGGTTTCTCTTTGTTGATGTAACTTGGTGCTTCCTGGAGCACCATCTGCACTATCTCAGCACCAGATAATGGGCTCCCCTTCTCTACAGCTTCAGCAAAAATCCTCTTCATTTCCTCCTACAAAGACAGTACAACCTCAATTTATTTATCAATACAGGACTTAGAACTTTATAGCCTAAACACTAAGACATGACACTCTTACCTAGTTTTGTTGTGGTTGCTCATTAACCCAACTGCCATCAGTTCTCCTATGTGTGTCAGCATACACTGTTATCTCCTTTGGCTTTTCTTCCTCCACTACAGCATATTGTTGTTCACTACTTTTCTCCTCGTCATGATGGTTTGTGGGTTGCTTGGCTTTCTCCTATAAGCATAAAAATAACTTGCATGAGCTGTGAAAAGACAAAAAAAAAAAATTGGAATTGGTTTACTATATGAATGTACAAATATATGAATTGGGTTACTAAAAAAGTTCTCTCAACGAATTGATGAGCAAATATAAGATGAATATTTTTAATCTTTTGAGGCTGTGTTTTTATCAAGATCAAGCTCGCAACCATGAATAGAGTAGTTATGTCTCTCTGTATAGGTGACAAATGATTGAGTATTTGGTAGTTCTAATCTCCACTGTAGAACCATCACGTTGAGTAGTCCTTTCCATTAGAGCATTCCGTCCAAATATGATGTTAGTTGTGGAGACAAAAATGGTTCATCTGATATATATATATATATATGGGTGGTTGTATCGTACCTTGGGTAAAATCCAGGGTACGACATACCATGAGTAAAAAAACTCTATCTAGATCTCGAATTGACAGGAGTTTGCCATCTTGTACTATTTCCAAACCCTTAAAGATTAAAATCTAGGTCTTAATTCTATAAATCTCAGACACTAATATCAATTTAATTAGAAATAACAATCGACGGTTATGATTCGTCGAAATATATGCAACAAATTACATGCAAAATCTTAGGGGTTAGGCTATATGATCTAGAAAACTAAGACCTAGGGTTCACTCATCATAGGGTTAGGGTATAGTATCATGCCTAGAAATCTGGTTAATTCGAAGTCTAGATAGTGTCTTTTTACTCAGGGTATGTCGTACCCTAGATTTGACCCAAGGTACGATAGAAGCCACCATATATACCCTAAGTAAAAAGACACTATCGTACCTTTGGTCAAATCTAGGGTACGACATACCCTGAGTAAAAAGACACTATCTAGACTTCGAATTCACCATATTTCTAGGCATGATACTATGCCCTAACCCTATGATGAGCGAATCCTAGGTCTTAGTTTTCAAAATCATAGAGCCTAACTACTAAGATTGTGCATGTAATTTGTTGCTATATTTCGACGAATCATGATCGTCGATTTTTGTTTCTAATTAAATTGATCTTAATGTGTGAGATTTATAGAATTAAGACCTAGATTTTAATCTTTAAGGGTTTGGGAATAGTACCGGATGTCAAACTTTGGTCAATTCGAGGTCCAGATAGTGTTTCTTGCTCAAGGTATGCCGTACCCTAGATTTTACCCAAGGTACGATAGAACCAACTATATATATATATATATATATATATCATGTTATGGAGTCTAACCATGTGGGGATAAGGTTTCCTTCCTCTCCTGCAAATTTCCCTTCAACTATCTATCTAAACAATAAGCTGAGACTAAGAAAAAGAGGAAACCTATCATGGTCTGAGTCAAGTGGTTGCTATTTTCAAGAGAAAGCTAACAAGATTTGGGGAAACCTTCTGAAACAAAGGATGGCTATTTTGAGTAACTTCTACTGATGGTTTCAATACTAGATTAGAAATGGGTCACACGTTTTCTGGTAACTTCTTGAATTGTACATCATACTGAAAAATTGATGCTGCTAAAGTAAAGCTTGGAAATAACACTGTCAGACTTCATGGGCTGGGAAGGCGATTAAAATGACAACAATGACGACTTTATAGAACCGACAAAAGAGATAGCGAAACAAGACTCGAAGCTGATAATATCGTTTTCGTTCCTATTGCACTATCATTTTCGCTCCTATTGAAATTTTTAAAAGACCCCATAGAAATCGACAAAATTGGATTCAAAAATGGGGAGCAACGCATACGACCGCAGTAAAATCAAATCAACCAAGTAATCTAGTGATTCACAAGGTTTCAATCGAACATTCAAGAGGAAACCAACGAGAATCACAACAGAAGAAACTTTCAGCTGGAGGCGAAGAGGAAGATAGCACAGTCGAATGACTTACTTGCAGGGAACGAAGCTCTTCTGAATCGGACTCTTCCTTGCACACACTGCTCTATGAGAAATATTTGAGGATGTCGCTTGGGTTTTCTATGGTTCAAAGCAAAAGTTACTGAGGAAGGAAAAGAAGTTTGCGAACAGATAATGGGATTCCTCTTTTTTTTTTGGGTTGAAAGAATGGGAATCCTCTGCCGCATACGAAAATGATTTTTTTTTACAGATTACTAAAAGGAATTTGATTAAGAAAATAAATTAATAAATTGATAACAAAAACATAACACTTCTTATTAATTAGAGCAACGTGATTATACAAACTTTCTCCTCAATTTTTTAAGTTAAACTTTGAGTAAACACATACGTTGTCCGAAAGTTAATGGTGGGATACGAGTTAGATATACGACCATCACAATCCCAATTAAGGGTGAGATACGAGTTAGATACAATACTGGACAATGATATGCATATAAGCCTATTTACTGTACCTGTGCTCCCTATATCTTGTACTTATTTTTTTTTAGAGTAAATGGGATAGTGAAGCTTGTGGCAGGAAGATGACCAAAAAGAGAAACACGGCGACAAGGTTAATCATGCTCTCCTTCTGAGTGCCCCGGTAGAGGGAAATCGGATTCCTGAAAGAGACAAGAACACAAATTTCTTCTACAATTTTCTAACGATGCAAAAATTTCCACTTCAAATCACAACAACAATATGGGAAAACATCCAAAACTACCACTATAAAAAAAATTACAAAAATACCACACATTCCCAACAATTTCCAAAAATACCACCCTTCCACACAAAACGCACCTCGGAGGCGTGGTTATAAACCAAAACGCGCGTCCAAGGCACGGTTAACGGTCAAACCGCGCGTTCCAAAGGCGGTTTGACTGTTCCTGGCTGTCAAACCGCGTGGCCACGTGGCGGTGCATCAGACCGCGCGATGGGGGAGCGATCTGACGGCCAAACCGCGCGCTAGCTCAGCGATTCGCGTCGCTCAGTCAAACTGCTCCCCCGAAGCGCGGTTTGACTGTTGGGGAAAGCTAAACGCGCCCTTGAGGCGCGGTTTTAGGCGGGGTAAAAGGACGAAACTGCCTCTCCCTCACGCGGTTTCGTCCCTATATAAACCCCCCTTCCCCCTCCCATTTTCTGCACACCAAACCCATTCCCTCCTCTCTCCCTTTAACTCCTCACTCTACCCACCCCCCTCCCCACCCAAAAACCTTAGAATTAGGTATTTTGTTGGTTGCGGATAAGTCCGATCTACCTTCAAAAAACTTTTTCTTTGGTTTTCACTAAAAAACCGTCGAATCTCTGTCTGGATTCGGAAAAAAGGCTGATTTCATCAAAGAAGAGGGCATTTTCTATGATGATTATCAAACGGTACGTACTCATTCTACCCAATTGTTGTTGTTTTTATAATGATTTATTTAATTTATATACTAATTGATTTATGCTGTTGTTATGCTATCGTAGGTTGGGCCGGATGTTGATATTTACAATCAACGATATTATGTTGATCAAGGAACGATTGATCCGACTGTTTTATACGATCAAGCTAATCATCGTTCAAGAGACGTTTGGAACGACCACAAGGTACATATTATTTATCATCACTTGTAATTTGTATTTTGTTAAAGTAATTTATTTGTTTGTACAATAATTTACTTAATTGTTAATCGTATTGATTTTTTTTAATAATTTAAATCAATACAATACAACACTTAGTTAGACTCTTTATAAAGAAATGCATGTCTAAGGAAATGGGGACTTAAGCGATCATCATGATCCCCCATAACATAGGAAAATCGGGTTCTAAGCGATCCTCAGGTCCCCCCTTTTTTTTGTAAAAAAGACTGTGTTTCTAAGGAGATGTTTATCCTCGGATCCCCCCACTAACTGGACTTGGATTGAGTGTGAAGAATTTGAGTTCCCTGAAATAGCCTTTTATAGGTGAATTTTGCAGCACAAACCGCGGGGAGGGTGGGGTGGGGGGGGGGGGGGGGGTTAGGTCTGCCATGCAGCCCCACCCCCTGCATGCCGACATGTCTGATGTCGGGTGACCAGGCACAAACCGCGTCTTGGGGCAGCGGTTTATGTCTGGACATGGTAAACCGCCGCCTGGTGGGGCGGTTTATCATGCCGACATTTAAACGCTTCCTCTTGAAGCATTTTGTGGTAGGGTTAGTATATAACCGCGCCTTCCAAGAGCGGTTTTAGCTGAAATTTAAAAACGCCTCTTGGCGAGGCGGTTATATTGTAAACCACTGCAGGAGGCGCGGTTTTAAATAAATGATGGTATTTTTGGAAATTGTTGAGAATGGGTGGTATTTTTGTAATTTTTTTTAAACAGTGGTAGTTTTGGATTTTTTTCCAACAATATGACTTATGTGTTAAGGTTTAGTGTATCATTGTTCAATTAGATATGAGTATGGGTGATTGTATGTTTACTGAATGCCTTTATAGTTTACATCTAAGGTTTAGAATTTAGGAGTGAAGATTGTTTTTATCACAAGTTTAGGATTTTTGTCATGGAATAGGGTTTTTGTCATGAAATAGGTTTTTTTTATCATATTAAATGTGTACATAACATTATTTACGACAACCTTGTTTGTCAGAACAAATATAAACTAATATATATTGTGACAAATGTACGTCATAGTTAACATTTAATCTCTCCCTCCACAAGTTCCCACCAATTCATATTTTGGCTAAGTAAAATGTGTGATATAAATGTTTTTCATAATAAAATATCACGAATCTATTTTGTGACGAAATAATCTTTTTGTCACATAAAACATTTCATCTTCTGTTCCAGATCACATTTTTATGACTAAGTATACATCGTCATACTAGATGAAAAGTCCTAATATTGTGACAAAATTATTTGTCATCATAAATATGACGTTTAAGATAATGCGACAGATGCTATTTTGACCAATATGTTGTCACGTTTTACTCCAATTCTTCCTTCCCGGTGACAATAATTTGACAAAGTGGTGTTGACATGATAGACTTGTCATAGTATATACTTAATGTGGCAAAACTTTATGACAAATTCAGTATTTGTTACACCTATCATAGAAATTATGTCAAAATTCGTCACATTATAGTTTTGTTGTGACAAAACAAAAATGACAATTTTTTTAATTTGTCAAAATAGACGAACATTGTTGTAGTGACACTATTTGATCACACCTCATGTCAAACTTAGAAACCATTAAAAACCTTTCAACTTTATGTTGACCCTTATTGCTGGACATTGTTTCTCATGCATATATATACTACTGTGTATTTTGTTGATATGGATATTGTATGCATATATGCGTGCCACATCTAGTGAGTTCTTATTATATATGTATCACTATGTATTTGTTGTCTACTACAAAGAGAATGACCACTGGTCATGTACATCTTCATGGTGTAGTGTGTGCGAAAAAAAATGATGAACCAAATGATTTTGGTTAATTGATACCAAATACTTTTGCGGTATTTGAGATGGAAATGAACTCATAATTCATATTATGAGGAGAGTTGAAGTAAAAATTTAATTATGTTTGAATTTGGAAGAATTCATGTTGGATTCGTGGAACAAATTTTGTATGAGTTTCAATTTCAATGCTTGCAAGATGTAACACTTGGTTTATATAATCAGGTTGTTTGTGGTGTGATCTTGAAGTAAATTGAAACGAAATGGTGGAAAACGTTCCCGAAACATGGAGTATGTTCCATGATGGTGTATTTATGTAAATAAATATTTACATAATAAATAATATTATGATCATATTTCATAAAACATGATCCACCACCAAGTTTTAATGTATTCATCGCATTGGTCCAATTCATTTATGTGGCATGAATGAATGAAAGAAAAGTGTGCCAATTTAATTTGGACACTTGTTCATTTATTCAATGTGAGCATGAGATGCTAGAAGCTTATAACCTCAATGTGCTAACATGTTCCACAAATTATGAATGGATTAAATTCAAAGATAGTCATTTATGGCTTATCAATTATGGTGGATTAGATAATTTTACGCTATTCGCTTAGGAAAATGTGAACAATCATATGTGTAAAATCTATGTAGCGAGACTAGTGGGGACTTGCGAGTCAAGTCTATCTAAGCCGGAATGGTTGC